TAGCATCTCCCGTACCTCCTCTAACTGGCTACCTTTGACCCGGATACTGTCTACAGGTGACCTTTAACCCGCAGAAAGAGAGAGATAAAGAGCTGCTGGAATGCAACATATGGCTCGTACTGTGGTATGGGCCAGAGAGAAGAACACTTTCACAACACATCACAGGAGGTGTTTTAGAGGTGTATCAACTATGGTGCTACAGTTGTGTTAAAAAATACATTAAACTAACAGGGAAAACAAAAAACAAATGAAATACAAACATTTGCAAAGAATAACTGGAACATCGAATAAGGAAAATGGGATAATTTGGTTATTATAATCTAGGGATGAAGAGATAATGGTAGAAGGGGAGAAGGTAGAAAGGGATAATGGTAGAAAGGAATAATGGTAGAAAGGGATAATGGTAGAAAGGGATAATAGTAGAAATAATATTGGGTTGAAGGAAGAACAACCAGGGGAAGACAAAGGGATAATTGTAGAAAGGAATAATGGTAGAAAGGGATAATGGTAGAAATAATATTGGGTTGAAGGAAGAACAACCAGGGGAAGACAAACACTTAGATAAAAATGAAACTAAAAGATTCGTAATTTTTTTTTGGGGGGTAACCTGACACCATTCTCTACCTGTTGTGTGTGTGTGTGTGTGTGTGTGTGTGTGTGTGTATGGTAGGCTAATGGTTGTGTTACATACTATCAGTTGTTGGTGGTAGATTGGTTGTGTATGGTTGTTACTCCCAGTTTGTAGATGATAAACCGGTTGTGTGTGGTTGTGTTGCATAAAACGGTTGTGTATGTAGTTATAATTGTGGTCTACAGCTAAAATCAAAACCGTATATTTCGACACAACGTTACATTACATTTCAAGGTTATAAATGGTGGTAGACTGAGCATTACCTGGATGTTGTAGTCAATAATAAAGATGAGAATTTACTAATGTTATTATTATTATTATTATTATTTGCTTATGAGGAGGAAGCTCAGACTGGGATTAGTGCTTGATAGGGAAAGGGGAAGGGTGAAACAAGTATAGGGAGAGAATAAAGGGGTGCAGTGAGGGGGAAGGGGGAGAATAAGGGGTACAACGAAGGGGGGGGGGTTGGGAGTGTGCCCCCTTCCCCATTTAAACCAATTTAACGTGCATCTGTATCCTAAACTAACGAGCCAAAGTCAATTACGTACTTTTAAACCTAACAACACAAACTACATCCCCCCCCCCTTAGCCCTAACCCCATAAGCCAAACGAACTTAAGACAACGATGGATTTTCTTTGATGCGGTACGACAACTTACACACACACAGGTAAATAAAGGCCTGAATTCGCCTGCCAGTCGTAGGAAGTTTTGTCTTGTTATCAGGAGTAGTTCGACATTACTGCCCATCTTCCTTCCTTCCTTCCTTTTTTCTTTCTCTTCCCTCCTTCCATTCTCCTTTCCAGCCTTCTATTTACCCATTCCCTCTTTTCAGTTCCTATTTCCCTTCCTCTTGTTCCCTTTCCTTCCCCTTAGTTCCCCCTTCCTCCTCTTAGTGTGAGAGGAAAAAAAGAATTACGGAGAAAAAATGACTAATGAGAGAAAGAAAGACGAAGGAAAGAAGAAAAAAAGATTAACAAGAAAAAAATAACTAAAGGGAAAGAAACGAAGGAAGAAAGAATAATGAAGCAAAAAGGAAGAATATTGAAGCAAAAAGGAAGAATAATGAAGCAAAAAGGAAGAATAATGAACAAGAAGAAGGACAAACAAAGGAGGATGCGGGGTGTTGTATTGTGTCGACTCACACACACACACACACACGTAAACCTGAAGCAACAACCGGTACCTCACTGGATGACGTAATAGTGCCTCCCACACACTCACTCACACACACGCACTCACTCACCACCCACACGCACTCACTCACCACCCACACGCACTCACTCACCACCCACACGCACTCACTCTCACCCCACACACGATCATACTAACTCTCATCACTTCTCCCTCACCCACACATACAGACACACTCACCCCTCCCTCTACCCCCACACACTCGTCTCTCCCTCCCTCCATAGCCCCACACACCTACAGAGAGAGAGAGAGAGAGAGAGAGAGAGAGAGAGAGAGAGAGAAAATCGCCCCCTCCACTCTTACACTCAACCCACACAAGATTAATTCCGTATTCCAGTCAACCAACAAAATTTGGTTGACTTACGAATTTTCTCCCGGATTTGAGTCACTAGAAAGGAATGGTCGATTGGTTTAATAACAGAAGAAGGTAAATCATTTGTCCTTTTCTTTTTTCACTTACACAAGCACCACCACTTCCGCCTCAGCCCAACACACCTTTCCGGGAAAACTATGAAGTTACGCTATCATGGAAAATCCGCATCTGTAACGTTCTATAATTGGCTTATGTAGGTCAAGGCACAATCTCTATAATAACCAGGGATTATTATACCTGCTAAACTCCTCTGTATCTATAATTTACGTGTATATAACTTGATCGGGTTAAGTTATAGGTACATTTCTATAACAGGTTCTATCTGGGTTAAGTCACCACCTTTGTAAGTTACTAAGGTACCTTCAATGTTAACTGCACCTATAATTTACGCGTATATAATTAGATCTAGCAGGTTATAGGCACATTTCTCATTGTTATAGTCAACGTACGAATAAACTCTATCCATACCATATACTGTTATCGTTATCTGTACTGATAATATTATTTAATTAACTTCCCGAATCTGAAAATCATTACCTGCAATTTAAGGTAGATTGGTTAATTAATTTATCTGTGACTTACGGCAAATTGGATTATAAATTCACCTGTGACTTATGGCAAATTGTGTTATTAATTTACCTGTGACTTATAGCAAATTGTGTTATTAATTCACCTGTGACTTATGGCAAATTGTGTTATTAATTTACCTGTGACTTATGGCAATTTGACTAATTAATTCACATGTGACTTACGGTTTATTGACAGGTGTACAGGAAGCATGTCTGAATATTATATATGTACACAAAAACACACAAGGCACGCAAGCAGGTATACACGTACAAAAACGCCCATACACACACACACACAAAACTCCTCTACACACGCTCACATACAATACACACACACACACATCATTAAATACTCTCAGGTTTCAGGTAGTATAGTGGTCAGGTATAGATCCCCTGAAGGTCCTATTAAACCCTCTGAAGGTCTTAATAAATCCCCTGGAGGTCTTAATAAACCCTCTGAAGGTCTTATTAAACCCTCTGAAGGTCTTAATATATCCCCTGGAGGTCTTATTAAACCCTCTGAAGGTCTTAATAAATCCCCTGGAGGTCTTAATAAATCCCCTGGAGGTCTTAATAAATCCCCCTGAGTACGTTGAGTTAAGCCCGAGTATAATGAGTTAAGTCTAGAGTTATTTAACCCAATTGAGTACGATGAATTAACCCCGAGTATAATGAGTTAAATGTATAGTTATATATTCAACCCATTTGAGTACGATAAGTGAACTGAGTACAATGAAATTTCCTAATGAGTAAGCGTACTTAAATTATGCAAGAAATTTAGGATCACCTGAAGAATAACCACCAGAACACTAACCTACCTTAACGTAACCTACCTTAACGTAACCTACCTTAACACTAACCTACGTTAACCTAACCTACTTTAACACTTTAACCTACCCCCCCCCCCAAGGTAACGTTAGGGTGGTTAATCTCCAGGTGACCCTCATACTAATACCACGTGTCTTTATAACGAGATTGAAACGCGTTATCAACTTTAATTTAGGATCACCTTATAGCTATGACCCATCTGTTGCTGCCGACAGGTCATTAGGGGTCAAGATGTTTTTCCGGTCATCAGTTGTTAATTAAGGGTCATTAAAGGCTTTAGGGGAATTCTCCATTGGTTTAGGGAGATTTGGCTAAGGTCAGGGCAGGTCACTGAATGTCCCTCCCTTTCTCTCCCCCCTCAAAAAATAACTACTAGTCAGGTCACCATTTCTCCTCCCTCACACCTCCACTCTCCCTCACACCTCACCATCACTTCTCCCTCACACATCACCATCACTTCTCCCTCACACATCACCATCACTTCTCCCTCACACATCACCATCACTTCTCCCTCACACATCACCATCACTCCCCTCCTTCAAGTCTATAGCAGATGCGTTCCGGAAGTCAGTGAAAGATGCAAATGAGAGAGTGGTGCTGATGATGCCTCGTGTGTGTGTGTGTGTGTGTGTGTGTGTGTGTGTGTGAGTGCATCAAAGTATCAAAAACAAGCAAAAGGTGTTTATTCCCACTCACACCAGGTTAGTGCAGGTGTGTGGGCAGGAGCACGTGTTCAGGAGCGCGTGGCGGCCTCTCTCAGTCCCCCCCTCTCTTACACACACACACACACACACCGCGGCAGAACCAGGTGTGTGTGAGGGATTATCAAGGTAGTGTTGGATGATTACAGTACTTTCCCCACTAGTCAATACCTCCACGTTACCGTATATACACACACACACAAACTTGATTGAGTTTTGGTTATGTAAGTCAACACAAAGTCCGCCTTCAATATCTGGCTGACTTTGTGTTTCCCGTGCGAGGAAGTTTTTTTTTTCCCAAGTATACCTCAATGTATTAAGCTGTCAGACGCACGATCACCACCGCACTTGGTTCAGTCATGTCAATAGTGTTTTTATTTTCTATTCTGTATCTCTATTTTTCTGGTTAAATAAACTGTTTCAATATCAATAGTTGTTGCTGTATGAGTCTTGGTTCGCTGTACACAGGGAAAATCAATCTCGTAAAGGATTGTGGGAAAGAAAAAACAAGAGCGCCGTTCTCGTGTTGTCATATACGAAAGGTTGACGAGTATTCTTGCGCAATTTTACAAAGACATGTATGAAAGTGATCTAGTGTGTATGTAGGGTATACAGTATATGTGGGAAGAAGACCTACACTGTGAGTAAAATAGAGTGAACTGTATTGGTGTACGGGGCCCCAGCAGTCATGTCTACACACACTTACCTGTTTAAGCAAGTGTTCAGGTTCTCTTCCTTCAGCCTTGAGGCTCCCAGAGCCAAGTGTAGCCGCTGGCTGAGTGTACCGTACAACACACTACACTACACTGTGTAACACAACATCATCAACACCTCACTAGTAACACTTCCGATTAAACTAAAATAAACACACAGGAGCACCACCACACGCAGCGCCCTCACACTACCACACTGACACACGACAGAGCGAGACACGCTCCTCACTGCACCAGCCAACCAACAGGTCAGTACTGACGACTAAGTCTGACTTGTACACACAAATCCCGCGTGGACCGCCCCTTACCCCCCCTTAGCTCCTCCCCCTTATCCCCCTTCCTCTTTCCACCCTCCCCCGCTTCATCACCACCACTCGCCGCCTGACCTGCACTTCTTCTCCTCCCTGCCCTCCCCTCCCTCCCTCACCTCCCTGGCTCAATTCTCAGCCACCAGCGAGGAACCTGACCGCCCTAAATCCCCCAGAGTTTTGCAGACGATGTGATCAAGAGATACAAGCGTTCCGCGGTGTTCTCTTCAACGAGATGCTGCCCCAGGAGGCTTGGCTGTGTTGGTAACGGTACACAGGGCGGATCACCTCATGATTAACCACCCTAACGCTACCTGGGGGAGGTTAGGCTAGGTTAGCATTAGGGAGGTTAATCTTCAGGTAAAATAAGCTGGGGTGCTTAATCTTATGATGATTCCACAATGCCATGTAACAAAGCTCACAGCATGACAACTCAGTGCATTATAGACTGAGCGTTACACCAGCTCAGAGGAGATAGACTGAGCGTTGTACCAGCTGAGAGGAGATAGACTGAGCATTACACCAGCTGAGAGGAGATAGACTGAGCATTACACCAGCTGAGAGGAGATAGACTGAGCGTTACACCAGCTGAGAGGAGACAGACTGAGAGTTACACCAGCTGAGAGAAGACAGACTGAGCGTTACACCAGCTGAGAGAAGACAGACTGAGAGTTACACCAGTTGAGAGAAGACAGACTGAGAGTTACACCAGTTGAGAGGAGATAGACTGAGCGTTACACCAGCTGAGAGAAGACAGACTGAGAGTTACACCAGTTGAGAGGAGATAGACTGAGCGTTACACCAGCTGAGAGGACAGACAAGGAGACCATTTCCCCACACAAGTAGTAATTGGGCAGAATATCGTAATAACTATCAATGTGGGACGTAAATGACACTATTACAATGTGTTTCTATTTGAGTTTCTTTCCATTTGTTTTAATTTATTCGATTCTCATTTTCTTTCTGTTCTTACTTTTTTTTTAACTTTGATTCTTTGTTTTTTTCTACTGTTTTTATATTTTGTTTTTGTTGGACTAGTCTATTGTTTTTGGGGTTTTTTTTAATATTTATTCTCACATCATCTCCATTACTTGTGTCATATCCCCCATTCACCATCTTCCCTTAATCCCCATTTACCTATTAGATTTCTCCTATTCACCCATTACAACACCTACATTAACACCCATCCACCCATTATAATCACCCCACCTCAGCCCCATCCACCCATTATGATTATACCCATTACACTAGCCCCACCCACCCATTACATTAACCCCATTCACCCATAACACTCACCCCTTACCCTAATGGATATGTAATGGGAGGTGCCAGCTTACAGGTGGTGGGGCCGGGAGACGTAACGACCGGGCCAGCTGGTTCACCTTCTACCAGCTGGCCCGGAAAGGTGGATCGCCAGGTATTGTATATTGATGGCTGGCTGGATATTCCTGGATGATGGTGAATGGCCGGATGTGGATAATGGGAAAGGGTGGATGATGCACGGATGAAAGATATATTTTGATGGATAGCCGGATGACGGATATCTATTACCGGTGAATTTGCCGGGTTACTGCCGGATGGAAGTATGTACAGTTATTACTATCTCCATCACACACACACACACACACACACACACACACACACACACACACACACACACACACACACACACACACACACACAAACAAACACACAGAACTCAACACCCACCACCCCTCCTCACCCCCAACCACTTCCCTCCCTCCTCACCCCCAACCACTTCCACTCCCTCCCCCACCGTACGCTTGGTATCGTTAAGTACTCTAATTGCAACTTGTCAATGTATCTGTACGATTATTTGAAGCCAAACCTTAAATTAAATATTTTCCGTCTGTGTGTTTGGTAAAGGTTCGACTCCACTGGTTTTGGATGCTGGGGTCTTAATCTTCATTGTTGTTTTGTTGTTATTATTATTATTGTTGTTGTTATTATTATTGTTGTGAGTTGGCTGACTTTTTTTTTTTTTTTACCAGGACAGGCTTGTGGGGTAGGAAAGGTGGGAGGTTAATGGGGGAGAAAAGAGGAGGAGGCGTCACACAAAACTCCCGTCGCAGCACCTCCCCTAACTTCCCCTCGCCCCTCCCCTCACTACAGGGAAAAAATTAAAATATATTTTATGTAAATTTACTATATTTTTTGCACGATT